GGGCGCCCGCCCGGCCCCTCCCGACTCCCCGCGCCGGCCGCTCGCAAGCAGCTGCACCGGGGAAGGCCGTCGCCGCCCCGGGGGACCGGAGAGGAACACACCTCCCTGGTCTCTGCTTGCTCTGGGGCACGTTCCGGACTGAATGGGGCACCCTGGTCCTGCTGGCGCGGCTGGGAGGCAGTCCTGGGCCCGAGGCGGGGCAGGGGCGGCGGAGGCGCGGCCTGAGCGGAAGTCCGCGGAAGCCTTTATTGCTGTCGTTTGGCGCCCCCGTCTGTTTTGCTCGCGGTTGCGGCGACTGCGAGCCGCATTGCAATCGTGGAAGCCATCGCCCTGGGCTAGGGTGTGGACAGCGACCCCTTCCCCAGTCAACAGGCTCTCGGGCTCCCACTTCCTTCCTCCCTTCTTAAGACCCGGCGCCCCCAGTCCCTGAGCCCGCACCAAACCGGACCAAAGCCCTACTCTGCTGAGAAAGGAAAATACCGTTTCTCGGCGACACCTTCATTCATTAGTGGTTTTGGAACTATTTTGCACCTTTTAAATAACGCTAATATTACGTACACTGGCTCGTTTACCATGAAAAGGACATTCGAGACCATGTCAGGGCAACGACTCACTACAAGACAGGTATAATTTTTTCCACTAAACTGTGCTTAGCAGACAGTGTTATATGGGACACAGTGAGCATTCCAATCCATTATTTAATATCCCTTAATTTATTTAGATTCCATACCTATTATTAGTAGTAACCTTAGCTCACATATATTTAGCGCTTACTATGCAATAAGAGGGAGCTCTGGTGGCGTAGTGCCTAAGGCATTTGACTGCTAACCGGAAAGCTGGCGGTTCAAACCCACCAGCCACTCCTCGGAAAGCAGGTTGGACAATCTACTTCTGTAGATACCGCCTCAGAAACACAAGGAGGAGTCACTATGAGTCAGAATCGACTCGAAGGCAGCGAGTTGTTACTTTTTTATGCAATAAGAGCTATTTACATATATTCTCTCCTTTAAAACTCACAGCAACTCAACGAGATAGCTACTATTATTGTGCACCTTTCAAAGATTGGGGATTGGCCGATACAGAGAGGATCAGGGATTTGCTCCTGACCTAAACTTATCTCGGGTAATATCACAGTGTTAAAAGTTTTGGGCAGCATGTTTGTTCGATTCTCTCGTTTTGCATGTCTTCTTTACATACGGGCCTACCTGGGAAACACAAAGTCTGTAGAGGATCGTGAAAAGATGGTGCTTCTCAATGAAATGCCCAAAGGTTGCACCTCCCCAAGAGTGTCAAGGCTGGGAAAGGGCCTGTCAAATGTCCCCGGTTTCTAGACGCAGCCTCTGGCCGCCAAGGCCTCCTACCCACTTTCAAGGTACAGGACCCACTCAATAAAACAAGAAGACAAGAATCCGACCGACACCCGCGCGGTTTGGCAGGAATTTTTAAGATGCCTTGGTGGGGGAAGAGAGGACTTTCTCCATATGGACTGAGAAGCACTTTTTGCTCCAAAGGAGGAAAGACATGAAAGAAGCCTAATTTTTTTTGTTAGGCTTCCAGACTAAATATTTACTTCTTGGGCCGCAGCGGGTCGTCCTTGGTGAAGTGGTAAACACTCTTGGCCTGCGACTGCAGGTAATAAAAATTTGTCCCGGTTGCCTGAGAGGAGCGGCGCTGGTAAAACTCGGGCTGCGGCGGAGTCTCGCTGTCGCCGGGGCCTCACTCCCCTCTTCGGTGCCGAGGGCCTGGAGCCCGGGCCAGAGCCACGAACCCGCGAACCTGCGTTCGGACGCTTACAGAGGGCTGGGGCCTCGGCGAGTGGTGGGCTGCGAACCCTGGGTGTTTCCTTTAGACTAAATGCGGCTGGGTGGCTGGAGGTTTGTGTTTATAAGGGGATGACTCAGGTTTAGTGACTCCAAGCCTGACTTCGCACGGGCGACTTTGTGCTACCATCCCTCGGCAGGCCTGGTCTCGCTTTCTGTCCCGTCTAGACCTCTCTGGCTACCTCTGTTTCTCTTCTTCCTTCCCCCCACAACTCTGCGCCCCACCGGGGACTACCTGGGATGAATGGGAGGCTCTTTGTCCCTGAACTCTGAAGCCACCGAGACCCGCCGCCTGACTAGAACTCGCGCGCCCTGAGACGCGTCAGGAAAACTTACAGGGACATCTAGCGCCAGGCGTGGGGAACTGCGAGCCACCAGGCCAGGAAGCGGAATGAACCCGGCCACCAGACCCTCCGCGAGCCTGGGTTCCCAGCTCGCACTTAGGTAATTTGCGGATCTTCATCACTTAGCCCTGCCGCCGACCACAACGTGGATCCCCAACACAGAGCGGAAACACGAGCTGGCTTAACTTCCTTCAGCTCAAAGGGCTCAAAGTAACAGAACAAGCGCTTACTGGACTTGAAAGTTAGCAATAGCATTCTTAGAAAAGTGTTTTCCGGAGGCAACCCCACAACTTCAGATGTCTGACAAAACAGCAGCAAATTGCTTACGGTTCCAGCTTTTGCTTTCCGAAAAAAGCAACAACCTGCCAAGTTCTTGAGCTCTGGCCCCACCCTCTCGAGTGTCCTCCCAGGAGACCCTCTCGGAGCTGAATTCCTGCCAGGGCGGAGGGCGTTCTGTCCATCCCAAACAAGGACCCGGAGGCCCTAAGGGAAACAAAACTGATGTCACCAAATAACCTTCAAATGTGAGAGGGCTTTTTTTGTTTGTTTGTTTCCCCGGTTGCTAACGATTTTTCATTTCACAAAACCTAATTATATTGTTAAGGGACCCTGGTGGCGCAGTAGTTAAAGCACTCATCTGCCAACCAAAGGGTCGGTGGTCGGAGCCCGCCAGTCGCTCAGCGGCAGAAAAATGTGGCAGTCTGCTTGCTAAAGATCTACAGCCTTGGAAAATCCGTGGGGGCAGTTCCACTCTGTCATATAGGGTTGCAGCTGGAGTCCACTCATGAGCAGTGGGTAGTTTTTCGGTTTTTGTGTTGTTAAACCCAAACACAATACACCTCAGATACAGAAAGTGCCAGAATGCAGGCGTTTGCTAGAGTCCTCCCTTCTCAGCTCCAGGTTTGCTGGGTTTTGTTCTTTTGATCGTTGCAGTGTGAGTGAAAATCAACTGAGTATTGCCTGCCTAGGGTAACTTCGCTCCAAAGGTGTCAGGGCACGGATTTAAGGGTGAACACTGGCTAGATCCTCTGGGTATAAGCTTTTACTTTGGAACTGACACTTCATTTCTGCACCTTACAACTTAATTAGGAGGATGTCTTGCACTTCCCACTTGTGGCTATCAAGGCAGAGGATAAGGAATCTCTAGGACTCCACTCTGATAGGAGCCCTAATGGCCACTGATTAATTGAACCCATTGATGTCTTGGCAAGCGGGGCAGTTTACTTTCTCCACTAAAAATAAATCACAGGCTGAATCCTCCCATTCCCCATCCCAGGGCAGGGACATTATTTCAAAGATTATTTACAAGGGTGAAAAGGGAGAACATGACTTCCAGAACAGCATCAATCTTCAGAAAGGGTGCATGTGGAGGGACAGGAGTGAGAGGAACAAGCTGATGGAACAGAAAGGCAGTGCTGATCTCATTCTGGCAATGTGGGACTTAGAGCAACAAAGTGCCCCTGAGTGTTTCTCACCCAAATCAGGAAAGGTGGCAAAACTGGTTTCATGGAATAAAGCTTCAGTTTTTGGAGACATCTTTGGTTGCAAAGGATTTTAATTTCACAAAGACTTTTGTATTGTTAAACCCCCAACATAAAACACACCCCACTTATATACACAGGGCTCAGCTGGTACCCCTGGCCTACTGAAGAAAAGGATTCCTGCTAAGATTGAACCTGAAGTCAGCTCAGACATACAGTATACAAGCTAAATGAAAAGTTTCTGCAAAGTCAGCCTCAGAAGGCTTCCCCTAGCCCACTCTCGGCTTGTAAATGATGTGTCTCTGTTTCTCCTTAGTTCATCAACAAAGCAGTCCAACTTTGGACTTTGAGTCCTGGTTCTCAGCCATAGCCCAATGATACTATACCACCAGCTACCCTGGGGTGCCAGATTTAGGAACCTATACGGTGTTGTCAGAGCCCTCTTTCCTAAGGGGAACCCTTTTAACTTGGCGGGGGCTTCAGAGGCTGCATTGGGGGGCAGGTTCAGCGGTAGGATAGCCAGAAGCCAAGGTTCTTATTGTTCAAAGCCTGATCAGTCTCTGATCACCCATTGGAGCAGGCAAAAACTCTTGAGTTCCACAAGGAAGTTGCAGGCATGGCTCTTGGAATGAGAGAATTAGTTCAACACCCACACACACCCACACACACACAACAGTCCTGCACAACTTAATTTACTGCATGGAAAATTAAACCAAAAGTGATGGGCTATCTGAAAACCAGCAAAACTTGACAAGGGTTTTCCTGCTGTCTTAATTCCACTTCCTTCATTTTTCAATATATAACCAGCTGTTAGGATACATATAAATGTGTCCTAGAAAAGAAAGACAGACAGAATGCGGAACAGAAGTTCCAGCTCACAAAATCACAGGACGTTTCGTTTTAGGAGACAGAAAGTTCATTGGCTCCAGTAAGACCGTAGAAATATTTTTGAAGTCGCAGAAAAGTTTAAAAGAAAAATCTCTATATTTTCGCTCTCGGACAACAATAAAGGGAGATGAAGGAAAATGAATGCATTTCAAAGTGCCATCCCATGGTTGGTTTGGTACCAAAAGTAGATACAAAAGACCCAGCCTAACCCCTCCAAAAAGTCAGCAACCATGTCACATGGCCCTGACTGGCCTTTCCTTAATGTCCATTAGTTAAGTTTCACCTTCTTCCAAGTAACTAAATTCTCATCAGCAAATTTCTAGTCCCTATTATGCCAGAAAATTCTCAAGTTCCTCCTAACTCAAATTTGATCATGAACTTGTCTAGGGTTTGAAAAAGTCAAAGTCTTTTGCTTTTCTCTTTCCAGTGCCCCTATTAACTTTCCCCTTTATTTGAGCCTTTTATGGGTACTGTATTTTGCATGTCAATATTCCCAACACTGACAGCCCACCTTGCCAGGCCAGGCTAGGAGGTTCTCCCTGTCTCTTGCTTGCCCTACGCAGAGCCTGTCTTGAATCCCAGAATAGCAGGGCTAGGTGGCAAGCTGGCCTCACCAATCATAGGCTTAGGGGAGCGATTTTCTTAGAGATGGGTTGGTCTGGGTAGTTGATGCTGGAAAACCAAATGGGTTCATTCTAAGGACTTCCACTCCTACTCCAGCACCCTCAACTTACTGGTGCTCTAAGGCATCTTACAATCAAAGCAGAAGTCACATCCGTACCCCAGTAATGGCTAAGATCAGAATATGGTAGGCTGGGGCTCTGTGACTGAGGAATGGCCGGGAAGTGATGAAGAGAAATCTGGGCTATAATCCCTGGCACCCTGGAGGTAGGGCCTAAAAATTGGGCCCAGCCCTGCCAGCGCTGTCCTGAGCCTTCGCCCTCCCGAGCTCTGGCTTTGCTTGGGAATAGAGCCCTTTTAATTTGTCCCTCTCAGTTCTCTGCAGTTGGCAGCTTGGAAAAGAAAGTGAAACAAAAGTTCCTGAGAAAGTGAAGTTTTCAGTTAATTGGTGTGAGTAACGGGCGGCGGTGGGCGGTGGCTGCAAAAGGCAAGAGGCTGGTCCGCTCTGAGCAAGGCTCAGAAGCTTGGCGGCGGGGAGCGGTGTGGCCTTGTCTTCGGCGCTCTCCACAGGGTCTCTCTGTGTACTGGGGGAGACCGCGCTGAGGCCAGGGGGGCCGGCTTGGGAGGCTACTCCCGGTGGGTCAGAGTATGGAGGAGAATAGCGCAGAGAAGGCATCCGTGAAGTTTCCTCGCTGAGACAGATGGTGAAGGCTCCGGTGCCAAGGGCTGGGTCTTTCGTCAGCTTGATTTACTTGTAAGTCTCTGCCCCCGGCCCAAGGGCGTTTCATAGGCATTTTCCAGGAGATCGGTGTGTGTGTGTGCGTGTGTGTGTGTGTGTGTGTGTGTAGGAAGGGTGTGCCCCAGTTGTGCTTGATACGTAGGATCCTCTGAGATAAAATGCCTAAAATGCCTTTGCCCAGTGGGGAAAATTAGCTCCCTCGGGTTTGAGGTCGACTAATCCAAGGGATTAAGCAACACGGCAAAAGTTGGTCTCTTTTCCTATGCTGACCATCTCTGTCTTTCGACTTCGTTTACTTGTACAACTCGGAGAGGCTAGTTGAAGAGGCAAACAGCAGCCGCGAGCGAGACAAGGCGCAGGCCTCGGAACTCGCTTCGCTCGCAGACAGGGCCTGGGATGAGCCGTCGCGCAATCAGCTCGTGGGGGTGGCTGCGGCGCGAACGCCTGGGTCGGGGGAGGGCGGGCCGGGGAGGTGGGCCGCG